TATTTTAATTTGGCTGCACTGGGTCTTAGTTGTGGCATGCGAGATCTAGCTCCCTGACCCGGGATAAACCCGGGCCGGCTGCCCTGGGAGCACAGACTCTTAACCACTGGACCACCAGGGAAGTCCCTTTCCTCCTATTTTATTGGCTAAATTTTCTTTATTAATATTTTTCCCTTTGCTGCTTTGAAAGTTATAATTTCTATTCCTTTAGTACTTATCCTTGAAATTTTATCTTATGTCATTAACTTCATATTTTTGTAACAAAGTCTAAAAATTTAAGTATCTTTAGACTCCTAAAATATTAGCTCCCTTAGGTAGGTTTTTAGCTATCCTCCAAACTCCCCCCTGCTGCTAATTCCTGTATTATAGTTGTCTAAAATTTTAGCTCTACTTTTTTGAAGACAAAACTTTTGTTTCTAATGTTTTTTTACAGTCAGTGGTATACAATATTTACCAATACTGTTGAATTATGTTTTGTTTGCTTTGTGTATCACACTCCCATTGTGGAGCCTTTCTCTCTCTCTCTCCTTAAAAGATAAATTTCAGGAGATTTTTCAGCAAGATTCCAAGGATCTCCCATGACTTCCTTGGCAATCCAGTAGGTAAGACTCCACACTCTGAATACAGGGCATTTTGTATGCCCTGGGCATGTTTGATACCTGGTGGAGGAACTAAGATCCCACAAAGTAAGATTCCACAAAGGGAAAAACAGACTTCAAAGAGGAAAAAAGAAAAGATTTCAAGGATTCCCTGGTGGAAAATTAGTTTTTTTAATGTCCAAAAACATCTTTATTTTGCCTTCCTTTATGAATAATAGATTAAATGAATATAAACACCTTGGTTTGGTAATTTCCCCCCACTTCTTAGAAACATTAGTATCAGTTTTAAAGATTTACTTGCATGTTGATGTATGGCAGAAACCAACACAATATTGTAAAGCAATTATCCTCCAATTAAAAATAAATTTCAAAGATTTACTTGTTCTTTGATAGGTACGCTGCTATTTCATTCTGGCAGCTTTTGCAGTTTTCTCTTTCATTCTTTTCAGTTGCATTACAAAGTGTTTTTAGTGTGAAATTGTTTATTTTTCACATGTTGTGCTTGATATTTGGTGCATTTTCAGGGGACCTGTAAAATCTGAAAAAACAAAAAAACCTGAAGCCTTTTTCTCTTCATATTTTGCTCCTCCATTTCCTCTCTTCTCTTCTTCTGAACTTCTGACTGGACACACGTTGGAGTGTTTTGATTTACCCTCCGTATCTCTGACCTTACTTGGTTTCTGCCGCTTAGTGAGTCTCTGTGCTGTGTGTTAGTAAACTTCTCAGAGGGTGCCAACCCAGCGCTATCTTACATTCCTGAATTCTCTCATTGACTGGTTGTAGTTTTTTACCTTTAAAAAATATTTTGTCTATTATTAGTATGTCATTGAAAGAGGAGGGAGTAGTGGTGGCCGTGTGAATTTACATCCTCATCTTGACGCCAAATCATTTTTCTATATTACTGCTATTAACCCTTGACATGTTATATTAATGCTAGTAAATCCTCTTTTGCTATTATTTGCCCTTTGATTTTTTATGGCATTATTTTCCATGTTGAAATTTTTGTTTTGTTTTTGGTAATCTGTCAATATTTTAATTTTATGTCTTCTTTTTTTTTTTTTTAGTCATTCCAAATAGCTGTCTCACATTATGAATAAATATTATTCTAAATTTTAATATTTTCATATTTGATCTTTAAATTACCTAGAATTTTTGTTTATGGTATACAGTGCAAGTCTAACTTTGTTTCCTTCTAGATAGTCAATTATGGCAACAAGTGGGACTATATAAAGCTAAAAAGCTTCTGCATAGCAAAAGAAACAATGAACAAAATGGAAAAACAACCTATGGGACGAGAGAAAATATTTGCAAGTCATATATCAAATAAGAGGTTAATATCCAACGTGTTTAAGAAACTCCTACAGCTCAATAGTAAAATCCCACAAATAATACAATTAGTCTATTGAAGAGACTGGGGCTTCCATGGCGGCTCAGGCAGTAAAGTATCCACCTGCAACGCTGGTGACCCAGGTTTGATCCCTGGGTCGGGAAGATCCCTGGAGAAGGATATGGCAACCCACTCCAGTGGAGAATGGAACGGCAACCCACCCCCATTCTTGCCTGGAGAATCCCATGGACAGAGGATCCCAGCAAGCTGCAGTCCATGGGATCGCAGAGAGTCAAACACAACTGAATCACTAACACTATAAGAGACTGAATAGACATTTTTCCAAAGGAGACATACATATGGCCAAAACGTACATGAAAAGGTGCTCAACATCACTAGTCATCAGGGAAATGCAAATCAAAATCACAATGACATATCACCTCACACCTGTCAGAATGGCTATCATGGAAAAGACAACAAATGCTGCCGAGAATGTGGAGAAAAGGGAACCTTGGTGTACTACTGGTAAATGTAAATTGGTGCAGCTACTATGGAAAACAGTATGGAAGATCCTCAAAAAAATTAAAACTAGAACTACCATAGGATCCAGCAATCCCACTATATGTCTGAAGGAAATAAAATCCAGAATTCAAAGAGATATCTGCATTCCCATGATAACTGCACTTTGTTCCCAAAAGTCATGACTTGGAGACAACCTTAAGTATTCATCAACAGATGAGTGGAGAAAGCAAATACTATTGTATTGTGTGTATTTTATTTATTTAAAATATTCATTTATTTGGCTGCATCAGGTCTTAGTTGTGGATAAAGCAAATACTGTATATAATCAGGTCTTAGTTGTGGATAAAGCAAATACTGTATATAATCAGGTCTTAGTTGTGGATAAAGCAAATACTGTATATAATCAGGTCTTAGTTGTGGATAAAGTAAATACTGTATATAGCCAGGTCTTAGTCGTGGCATGAAGAATCTTCATTGTGTCGCATGGAATCTTTTCTTGTTGCACAGGTTCCCGAGTGCGCACGCTTTCTTAGCTGTGGCACGTGGGCTTATTTCCTCTGTGGCATGTGGGATTTAGCTCCCCAGTGGATTCTTAACTACTGGATCACCAGCAAAGTCTCTCAAATGTATTTAAAGTCAGCCATAAAAAGATGGAAATCCTGACATTTGTGACAGTAAGAATGGACATGGGGGCATTGGGTTAAGTAAAATGTCAGACAGTGAAAGTCATGTCTGACTCTTTGCTACAGTCCATGGAATTCTCCAGGCCAGAATACTGGAGTGGGTAACCTTTCCCTTCTCCAGGGGATCTTCCCAACCCAGGGATTGAACCCAGGTCTCCCGCATTGTGGGCAGATTCTTTACCAGCTGAACCATAAGGGAAGCCCAAGAATACTGGAGTGGGTAGCCTATCCCTTCACCAGGGAATCTTCCCAACTCAGGAACTTAACCGGGGTCTCCTGAATTGCAGAGGAATTCTTTACCAACTGAGCTACCAAGGAAGCCTGATATGTCAGACAAATGGCAGACAAGAGAAAGACAAATACTGTAGGATTTCACTTGTATATGGAAACTAAAAGCACCGCACTCATAGACACAGATAGAATGCTGGTTGCCAGGGTCTGAGGGGTGAGAAAAATTTGAAGGTGTGGATCAAGGGGTATAATACAAAATTTCAGTTAATAAGTTTCAGGGATGTCATGTACAGTGTGTGACTATAGTTTAGTATATACTCAAAAGTTGCTACAAGAATAGATCTTTAATGCTCTCACCATAACAATGACAACAACAAAAAAGTTATTTATGTGAGGTGAAGGATGTGTTAACTAACCTTATTGTGGTAAACATCTCACAATATGTACATGTGCCAAATCATCACATCACATCACATCACATTAAGCCTTCACAATACTGCATGTCAATTATATCAATAAAGCTGGGGGTGGGGGAAGGTGAGATGTCTTCAGGAGCTAGGCAGACAAGAGACAGTAGGAAGTGGTAGGAAAAATAAAACATCCATCCTCTCTAAAGTCATACAAATTATTATGTCTAAAATCACTATATCAAATGAAACCTACCTATAAGTTAAATTCTGCCTCCAGGAGCCAGCAGTTTAGGATGAGAATAAACTATAAAATATTATACAAATGTTAAGATGCTTTAATTTCACCTTAAAGCAAACAGAGGAAGGCCTTTTCATAACATTTCTGAAATGAAGGCATAACACTTCTGAAAACCTTGGCTTCCAACAGTTTCTATAATTAAGGTAACCATATAACTCATCATCCAACCTGGATACTTCTGAGAATGGAAGGATGTTCTATTCATTACAGCAGGTCAAAGGTGAAACCCAGCACTCTCCCAAGGTAAACCAAAATATACAATCACTCTGATTATAATAATAAAATTACCCACAACAACTGTCTGACTTAAATATTAAGGTCAGATAAAAATGAAAGATGTGTTTATCGAGGGAGACAGATGGCAGATGCTGGAGAGAGAGGAGGTAAGGGTGGCAGCTGGGATCCAGATGAAATGGGAAGAGAGAAAGGACCCTTCCCTTATACAAGAGGGAAGTAGCAAAGGTTGCAATGTAAATGGGTTGAGCTACAGAAGGGAGTGTAGGTGATGGTGGTTGGGGGAAGACAATCCAGAGATCAAGTAAGCACCAAGAAGCAGGAAGAAACAGAAAAAACGAAGAATGAGCATGGACACACCAGAGTATTTAAGATGTCTGAAAAAAAAAAAAAATCCAGAAGAGGACAGACTGATCCAGGTGCTGCAGGGAAGTAAAAAAATCAACTAGGATGGAGAACAGAGAATGACCTTTCAGCAAGGAAGTTCTTTGCTGGTCCCACTGTACTAGGCATCTCCCCAGGGGAGGAATGGTTGCCTCTCCTTTTAACTGGAAACTCCCTGAGCGGGTGATTATATTTTCTATATTTGCACAAAATACTTAAAAGTGTGGAACCAAATTATAAGAGGTAGAGAATTATCCGCTTCCTTTTCATATGTTCTCCCAAGGTTTGGGCTCTGCATGAGATGCTCAAATCATTACTGGTGAACTGGCTGTGACCTTTCGGGAAGCATTTTCCTGTCCCTCCACTCCTTCCCTGAACCTCTGGGGATGGACTTTGGTGCCCTTCTAATCTCAGTTAACTGCCTCATAAATACCTTTAATTAGTCCAAGGTTCAGGAATACTTACCCCATTTTATAAGCACTGTATATTCATTTGCTGAATCCATTCATTCTCAAGAGGCAGTGAGATAGCATTGCCCATCTGTTTCCCTCTTTATAATATTTCCTACCTTCTAATTTTGACTCTCTGCTACTATTGTTTTTTTCCTCTCTCCTTTTCCTCTCTCTCTGATTCTCTAATTAATAGACTCTGACCTCCATCGTCTCTGTTATTTTCTCTTTTCCTAGAACCAATGTCCACAGCTGACTTCTAGACTTCCAACAGACTTGAAGAAGCCCTTGGCCCCATCATGGCCCATCAACAGTTTTCCGGTAAGCTTCAAGAAGAAGTGATTTGCCCCATTTGCATGGATATTCTGCAGTACCCTGCTACCATCGACTGCGGGCACAACTTCTGCCTCAGTTGCATCACTCAGAGCGGGGGAGCAGCAGACAGCATCCTTAAATGTCCCCTCTGCAACAAAATTGTGAGGAGGGGCACGATCACGCCCAACTGGCTCTTGGTAAATCTGGTGGAGAAAATCCAAGCTATGGATCCCTCGGAGATGCAGCCAGAAAAGGAAGAGCTGAGATGTCTAAGGCACGGAGAGAAATGTCATTACTTCTGTGAGGTGGATGGCAAGTTCCTCTGCGTGGTGTGTTGTCAATCCAAGGACCACAAAACCCACAACGCAACTCTGATAGAAGAAGCTGCCCAGAGTTATCAGGTAGATATTTGGGGGTCCCTTTTATGTTCCCCCATCAGTCCAGGAGTTCAGTGAGGACCTGGAAACTGTCATCTCCTCCCTCTGGGTTTGTACCCATTGCCCCCATCTGAGTAGAAAATTTGCCGTCATGCCCAGTAGTTTCAAAAGTCTAAGACTGGAGAACTGATGCTTGTTGTGACCAAGGTATAATGGAGAATGGAAAGAACACGGAATTTCGAGTCAGAGGTGTAAGTTCAGGTTCAGACTCCTGAACTTTCTATAGATCCTTCAAGGAGTCACTTTACCTCTCTGAGCTCCAGGTGCCTCCTCTTTAAATGGGGCACACAAATTGTACTTCTTAAGAGTCGTAGGTATGACAAATGAGAGAAGGTTTGTGGAAGTCCTTTGATAACCCCCAAAGCACATCCAAATGTTAGTCATAATTTATTAGCTGTAACTTATTACCACATTCCTTTCTTGTAGGTCACTTAGGCTCCAGAGTTCTTCCTCCCCCATCACACCCCAGCCCCCAGCTTTAACAGGAAAGGGGGATCTATTAATAATGACACAAGGACTTGCCCACCATCCCAAGAGATCAGGAGGGCATCACGAGGTCAGGAGGGCTCCAGGCACAACTTGCCAAGACAACTCTCTCCCAACAGGAGCGGATCCAATCACAAATTGAGGTCTTGCAGCAAAAGGAGAGGGAGATAATTCAGATGAAGTCACAAGGTGAACACAGGATCAATGTCTTCATGGTAAGAAAAAACTCAGGTGTGGGTCTCTCTGTCCATGAGCTCAAAAGCAGAAACAGTATCTCTGCAAAGCTCCTAGAATTCCTTATTACACTGACCACTCAAAAAGACCTCATTGACAAAGAAACAGATACAGAATGGGATGGAGTGTAGGAGGGACAGAAAGAATTGTGGCATCAGGGGTAAGGGTGTGTTCCAGCCTTCTCCTCTTCTACAGCACTTGGTTTGCCAGTGCTAGCACCTTCCACGTCCAGCCTCGTGTTGTTGGAGTAGGTTGGCTGCTTTGGTCTCCTCCACCTGGGGACAGGTAGTGTAAGGAAAGCTGGTGCTGGTCTCAGAATTGGAAATACCAGTTTTAAGACCCGTCTCTGCCCCTCACAGTCTCTTACTTACCTGGAAACTGACTTCTCAAGTTAGAAAATGAAGACACTATGAACCCACTCAAATATCTGTACCTGTTTTTGCAGCTGGACAATCTCAGGAAGCTTAAGGATTCCCTGAAGTCCAGGCAGTGTCTGCCGCCAGGCCAGCTGCTCCAGGTGTGTGTCCCTTGGGGACCAAGTTGTAAAAACATAGGGACCCCTCCCCAGTTACAGATCAGAGCACTGGTCACGTGGCAGGATACCAGAGTTGCCTCCATCTTCCTTCCCCCAGCTCACTGCTGTCCAATAGAAACACTGTGTGAGCCATAATTGACAAATATATTTCACACTATGTATATAATTTAGAAATACAATGTGAGCTATATGTGTAATTTAGAATTCTTTTGCAAGCCACAAATATGACTTAAACTTTTTACTTGTAGCCACATTAAAAAGATAAAAAAAACACAGGTAAAATTAAGTGAAATATTTTATTTTACCCAATATATCCAAAGTATTATAATTTCAATCATTAACCAATATTTTTAAAGTATTAATGAAATATTTTATGAACTTCTTCCTTTAAAAAAATTGAGTCTGTAAAATCTGGTATATGTTTGGCAGATCTCAGTTCAGACATCATATTTTGAATGGTTGAATTAAATGACTCTGACCAAATCAATATAATTGCGGTCAATGGAAAAAGTATTTTACACTATTTCAGTTTTTTTTTTTAATTTAAATTTGGATTGGTGACTCTAATAAAATTTAAAAATTTGGTTCCTTGTCATACTACCCATGTTTCAAAGTGTTCAATAGCCACGTGTGACTGGTGGCTGTCATACTGGACAGTGCGGGTCTAGGTGGTGCACAAGATAAGCTGAGCTCCCTCCTGAATCCGTCTCCCACTCCCACTAGTTCAGAAATCCATTTCTTTTTTTTTTTAAAGAAAGACCACACAAAGTCATTCCAGCCCTTTTCCTGTCTGTCTTCTCCCTTCTCCGGTTTAGTCTCGGAGACAAAACTTATTTTCAAACAAGTCAGTTAGTTCCTCTTGAGGTCTGATCATTTTCCTGCCTACTGACATATGGGACACTTCCTGGAGGAACCTTTATGGAGATGTTCGTATGGGAAGAGAGATGTTCTCATTCCACCTGCTCTACCCCATGCCCTGCATGGTCGGTACTTCCTCCTTGGCTCCCATGAATCAGCCAAGTGCTAAGACTGTGCTGTTTTTCTTTCTCTTCTAGGACATCAAAATTGCCTTGTGCAGGTATGATGGGCCACCCCAAGTGCATTTTGCCCACTGATTCATTCATCTTACAATGCTCAACATACATTCAAATACTCAACATTCTTCCCTCCCAAGTTCCTGTCTACTCTGTCTAACTGCAGTCAGGTACTTAGGCTGCAGCTTAAGCTGAGTTGGTTACTAAAGAGAAGAGCTGTTTCTCTTTACTTTCCTATTTCTTCATCACAGATTCTCCTATTTGCTTGCACTTCCTGCATGACCCCTTGCTCAACTAGATGGCTCCTGGGTCTCCTACCCCATCTCTCTGCCCCCTTCCTCTCTGCTTCTTTCTGGCTTATCTCCCATCTGCATTTCCATATCACACTACGCCCCACCTCACCCTGGCCCCATATCCCTAGCCCTGGCCTCCTGACTCTCAGCTCACTATCCTCTGATTTCCTTCCCTACCCCCAAGGCTCCATCACCTCATCCCCACCTCTTTGTCACAGCTCTTCCTCCCCTGCACCCCATCCCTTGACCTCACCATCCAGTTCAGCCATATCTTCCTAGGAGTGAAGGATTTAGCTTTCTCAACCCAACCCCTGTTTCAATGGGCCTGGAGAAAAAACTCAGTGACATCAAATCACGGCATGATTCCCTCACAGAGAGCCTGAAGAGATTCAAAGGTAAGGAAGAGGTTGTCACTAACTCAGTTCACCTCCCTTTGGGGGATTCTTCCTCCATCATCCCGAGGAAATGGAACTGTAGCTCATCCATGCCAATAGTAATTATAGAGGACATTTCCAATGCCAGGCTCTCTGCCGGGCACTTTCCAGGCATCTGTCTTTTCAGGCATTTCTTGCACTCTGTCTTCATGTTTCACCTGTTTGCCTCCCTGACTCTTCTTGTGAAAGCTGCGAGAGGTTCCCATGCCTGGCACAGTGACTGGCAGGGAGGTGGTAGACCAGTTGTCTGGTGGGCCAGAACTGGGGTTCAATCTATTTCTGACTACAGAACACAAGAAAATAGATTCAAAGTCAATGACATTTTAGGGAAATCCTTCTTGCAGCCTTTCAGGGAAACAGAAGTCAGACAGAAATAGATGATTTGGGCTTTAGATATTTGGTCAGATATTTTTCAAAAACATGTCTGGGATTACAACTAGGAAGACAGCTGTGTATTTATAAGGACTCCCTTCACAGCAAAGGTTGTGCTTGTCTAAACCAGGAGTAGAGAGAGCTGGATGGAGTTTTCTCCCAGGAAATATCACAAGAGTCTCCCAACCCCAGATCCCTCCCATATGCCTCTGGAAAAAGAGGACCAGGACAATGCCCCCAAGAATACCACTCGTTCAGCTAAGAATCTCCACTCCCCAGACACAGAGTTTTGTTCTTAATTTTGTTGTTTTGAACTTTTCTTTTCCCTAGTAACTGCTTTGCTTTGTCCAGTTCTCCCATCCCACGTGATGTAATCTCATGTAATCCAACAATTTCATAGTCATTTCAGGTTTTCATAGTCATTCCAATTTGGTTCTGAAGTTCCCTGGTGGCCTAGTGGTTAGGATGCTGGCCTTTCACTGCCATGGCCTGGGTTCAATCTCACATAGAAGAACTACAATCTAAAAAATAAAATTAAATAGTTTTGCTTCAGTTTAGAATTTCAATAAAGGGATTTATTACCTTTTCACTTTGGCACAGGCTGGGATTGGGCATGGAGAAGGGGGCTACAAATACACTCTTTACCTTTTGGCACAGATGAACGTGGTCTGCTGTATTTTCTCCCCCCTACCCCCACACGCAGTCCCCTAACTCCCACCTGGCCCTCTTAAAGTCCACTGGATGGAGGGGGTGCTGGGGGCCTACTTACAACACTGGTCTAATCTCCATAGCTGCCTAGTCTGAGGATGGTTGCCTCCTGTTGGGGAATGACTGGGTCTGGGAAACCAGAAGTGGAGGGGGTTGGTGGCTGGACCCTGAAGGCCCTGGAAGCATAGCATTCCTGGCCAGTGTTTGCTCTGGCTCCAGGTGTGTGGACCCCTCATAAGAGGGTCGCTGAACATTCCCTATGGCTGGGCTGGTGGCCCTCAGAGGAGATCCCCTGTGTCTCCCTCCACCTATACCCAGGGCTGGCTGTCTCCTGTCCTGGACTAGAAGGGTACAGAGGCCCAGAGGCAGCCCCTCATCTAGGAGTCCCACTCTATAGCTCTTCCCTTAGTCCAGCACCCCTACAGCAAGTGCAGGCTGGACACAGGCCATCGTCCCTGAGTTATGGGCTCATTCTCCAACCACACATAGTCTTTTGTCCTCTGCCCCTATTTCCATGAGGGTACACAGACGTTGACAGCCCTCCATGTCTGGGAGATGGGGGCACAGAACTCCCTCCTTGGGGAGAACCAGGACAGAAGGGCACTGGGCGCCTTGGTCTGGAGCTCCCTTGCCTTTCCTCTCTTGAGTCTTCTCTTATCGGGAGGAGAGGGATTGCCACCCAGGCTTTAAGTAGGTGGGACCATCCTTTACCACAGCCTGTGCCTGAGTGGCTGGCACCACAGCAGACCTTCTTCTGAAGCCAAAGCATGAGGCCAAACAGCACCTTTTGTCCCTCAGCCCTTTCTCCTCAGTTCTCCTCACTAGGAAGGGCCTAGATTTGTGCTGCCCAATATGTTGGCTACTAGCCACACATGCACTTGGGCATTTGAAATGTGGCTCGTCCAAAGTCAGGTGTGCTGCTAGTGAAGGAAACATGTCAGATTTCACAAGACTTAGTGTGAAAATAGAATGTAAAATATAGTAATAATTTTTTATAGGTTGAAAGGCAATATTTTTAAAATAATGGTTTATTTATTTATTTACTTTTAAAATTTTTTCATTTAATTTTATTAGTTGGAGGCTAATTACAGTATTGTAGTGGTTTTTGCCATACATTGACATGAATCAGCCATGGATTTACATGTTAAATAATGGTTTAAATAGAAGATATAATTAAAAATTAATTTTATCAGCTTCTTTTCACTTTACTTTTTGTAATGTGACTACTAAGAAAGTAAGTAAATGTTAGTCACTCGGTCGTACCCAACTCTTTGCGACCCTGTGGACTGCAGCCCACCAGGCTCCTGTGTCCATGAGATTTTCCAGGCAAGGATACTGGAGTGGGGTGCCATTTCCTTTTCCAGGGGATCTTCCCGACCCAGGGATTGAACCCAGGTCTCCTGTACTGCAGGCAAATTTTTTACTGACTGAGCTACAAGGGAAGCCCTTCCCTGGTGACTACTAGAAAATTTAATATGTTATTTGTGACTTGAGGGTATTTCTACTGGACAGTGCTGGGCTAGAGAGCCACTCCAGGATAACAGAAAGAGCATCTCTCAGAGTTTTACACCTTGGTCCACTAGGAATATGAGAGTCAAGTTCAAGGCATTTGAAATTTGGTGCCCGCTGTGTGATCATGGGTTCCTGGTTCAAACTCTCTGAATTTACTCCATCTCATTCTTTTCTCTCTCCACAGACAATCTCCAGGCTGACAGCAAGAAAGATAAAAGCAAATTCCTCAGAGGCATGACTGAGGAAGACAGAAAGAGCTGTAAGTGATGACTGCTCCTGCCATTTGGGGAAAGTGAAAAAAGCAAAGGGGAAGAATTCTCTCTGGTTACACGGAGGCCAAATATAGGTGAATCCCCATTCCTCATCAAGGCAGAAGCACAGGCATATGGATATATTTTATTATTTTAAACTCGGGTAACTCACAAAACAGAGACTAATCCCAAAATTTTGAAATATTTAAAAGTAACAGAAAATTCTGGGACTTCCCTGATTGTCCAGTGGGTAAGACTCCACACTTCTAATTCAGGGGGCATGGGTTTGATCCCTAGTTGGGGAACTAAGATCCCACATGTTGTATGACATGCCTCCCCCCCCCCGCCCCCACAAAAAAGTAACAGAAAGTTGCAAATTTATTCCTCCATTCCTCAGAGTAAGGGAGGAAAAGATAAGACAAGGAGAAGACAAAAGCAGCTCAGTCTCTGCAGTAGTAGCTGCCATCAGCCATGGGCTGGGTTTCTGGTTGTAAGTCAGGTCATGACAGCCCAGGGGAGGGAGACCCCCTGTAACCGCAGCCTATGCCCAAGCCATCAGAGATGGCCCTGCTATCTGAGATGTTAACACCAGAAGTACCATTTCTTCAAGAGCCACCATGTGCTAAGCAGTCCACATCTAGAAGTTCAAAATCTCACTACCATCCTCCTAGACAGGTGTTATTATTGGCAATTTGCGATCAATAAGGCCCCTGCAACTTCAGAGAGGTGAAGTCAATTACCCAAGTCACATGACTATTAAGTGGAAAAGACAGCATTAGAAATCATTTTGCCAAAGCCAGAAACTACACAATGCCTTCCAAAGCCGAGAGCAGAACTTAAGATTCTGTTCCGCCAATGTTTCTCCACCAGAGGAGCTATCGGTGTTTGCGCATGGCAAGCCTCCACTGTGCTCTATGCCTTGCGGTCTGCTGAATCACATCCCAGGCCTCAGGAAACATTCTAGGCCAGTAGAGTACCCCCTCCTTTGCAGGCACTGGGACAACCTGAAAGGCTTCTATACTTCCTCATGACCTGGGGGCAGCCCTTACTGAGAATCACCAATTCTTGTACTTATTGATGGTGGCAGGCTGTTTGGTTTTTAGTTCGCAGCTTCCAGTTATCGAGACCAACACTGGTTTTCTCTCACCAATTCCTAGGGTACCTGTCAGAGAAAAACTATCCTAAAGTGAACAAAACCTCGGAGCCTGAGCTGACCCCTCCAGGTAAGAGTCCTGCCCCTGAATGCTGGTGGCTTCTAATGGTGAAGTCANATCTAATATATTTCTAGAAAGTGTGCAATGTTAACACAAAAAATCTAATAGACTACTACTGCATTTTTCCATTGAATTAGCATCATGGAATTTTAACAGAAACCCTAATTAAGTAGAATTTCTAATGGGAATGTGACCTAAATTAAAATCAAGGAAAAATATTCAACATGTTCACTAATCCTCCAGGGGAAATTTGGAGGTCTCTTGCAACCATACTTTTATTAAAAACCTCAGTGTTTCTTGGTCTATTTGCACCAAAATTTGTTGCTTTCTCATTAATTACTTTCTACTATTGATTTTTCTCCTGAGTAAAGTGACACAATCCATAGAGCTGGTTGAGATGTGAAAGAGACAGATCCTAGAGAAGTGATGACTATAAAATGTTTATTATCCTCCAAACTTGATATAACCTCCTTGCAAAAAACCAGTAGGATTTGAACATCATTGTGTCATGCATTGTGTCTACCATGGGCTTCCCTGGTGGTTCAGATGGTAAAGAATTTGCCTGCAATGCAGGAGACCTGGGTTCAGTCCCTGGATTGGGAAGATCACCTGGAGAAGGAAATGACAACCCACTCCAGTATTCTTGCTTGGAGAATCCCTATAAGAAGGAGCCTGTCGGGCTACAGTCTGTGGGGCTGCAAAGAGTCGGACATGACTGAGCAACTAAGACACAGACAGGAGTAAGAGGATGAGGCTCCCATTCCTAAGTCTTTGGCAAGGACTGGAACCACAGCTCCCCAAGGGTGGGGGCCTTCTACTTTTAACAAGCTATAACTTAATATCCAAATCCAATTAAAAGTGTGTGTGGGGCAGACTTCCCCAGTGGTTAAGACCCCATGCTTCCACTTCAGGGACAGTGGGTTCCAACCCTGGTGGGGGAACCAAGATACTGCATGCTGCGCACCCACCGCCCCGCCCCGCCCCCCAAAGTGTGCATATGTGGTGAGAAGGGGGCTGACAGTTCCTCCTTCTGTACTCCACCCCTCCACTGAACCCTGTTTTTGAGGGGTTGTACTTTAGAAAATTACTCGAGCTCAGACCATCTGAACCTCGACATCTCTTATAGAAGCCTCAAATCTTGTTCTAGATATGAGGACCACAGGAAACGGGGAAGGAAGAGGAGATAGTCTCAGTTCTGAGTGTTGAAATGACACCTCCCCACCACCAATGGAGACCACCCTCAGAGCTGCATATGGTGAAATTTAGGGATTAACGCCAAGGAGGGGGCGGGGGGCTAGGACGTCTCTGGGGGCAAAGGTGACTGTGACTATGTAGGGAAAGCCATCCTAAAGGGGGCCGGATGGCTTGACCTGGGGTTGCCCCTCTTTCTCCTCATCTTTCCGCAGACACACTGACCCTGGATGCGGCCTCGGCTCACCCAGATCTCATCATTTCCCAGGATCTGAAGACAGTGACGCTGACGCCGGTTCTTCAGAGCGTCTGCGCTGAGCCCACCGACCCCGAGCGCTTCTATCCGTTCCGCTGTGTCCTGGGCTTGCCAGGCCTCTGCTCCGGCTGCCAGACCTGGGAGGCGGAGCTCCAAGGGCCCGGGGGCGGGGGCTGCGTGGTGGGCGTGGCCTCGGAGCCAGTACCTAGGAAGGGCATGTTGCAGATAGAGCCCTTGAGTGGCTTTTGGGCGCTGCGCATCGCGGGCTCCGAGTGCCAGGCGCTCACCGCGGCCGGCACCCGCGAGGATCTCTCGGTCTGTCCCAGAAAAGTGGGCGTCCGCGTGAATCACGAGTGCGGCGAGATCGTGTTCTGCGACGCCACCACGAGCAACCACCTCTACACCTTCCACGCCTCGTTTCCAGGGCAGATCTTCCCCTTTTTCCGGCTCCTGTTTCCCGGCACCCAGATCACCCTGAGTCCCTAGAGCTGTTCCTTTGCTTTCCTCTGCGTCTCCTCCCCGTTACCCTCTCGCTTTGGGATGTGTGGGATATGTGCTGTAGGGTTGAAGCTAGACTTCCGGGAACACTTTAGGAAAGTTACACTCTTTTGGCTTCTTGATGGAGGCCTGATATCTCTGAAATTCCCCCCACGGCCCCCACCCCACCGTTTACTTTTACCTTGTTTCTTTCAGTCCCCCTTTCTCCCCAGTATACCTAGGTTGAAAAGGAAGCTTCAAATACACAAGGCTATTTATTGTCGCATTATAAATCAATAGGTAACAATGAAGATTCTGCAATGAGAATGTTGGTTGAGATGCAGATTTCAGGGGACCACACACTGATTTGAGGCTGTGGCTTTTATCCTCGATGCCCTTGAGAGTGTGTGCAGGCTTGGCCCATCTAGACCTCTTGCTTTTGAGGGACCTGAAAAACATGACGCTGGATCGCTGGTGGTTGTCTCCCCAGAGACTCAGTCAGGTCTAGACCTTTTGCAAGTGAGGACTATCTGTCTATTATTCTAGGATGACCTCCAGGATATATTAGGTGAAAAAAAGCCAAGATGGAAAATAGTGCACACAGCATGTTACACATTACCTAAGAAAAGGGGAAATGTAAATATACATTTTTTTAGCTTATATTTATTTTTTAAGTGGAAGGATAAACCAAAACCTAACAAAAACACTTACCTTTGGGAGGAGGGAGAACCAAGTGGAAGACATAGAAATTAGGCTTTGGAATTATGTAAATATTTTACATCATTATAAAACAAAATTAAAACAAGAGGAACCTATCTCTGTATGTAGTTGGTAGCTTAAATTCTCTGTAGTTGGTAACTTCTTAGGAGTTATTTTAGGTGACTTTAAAACACAGTAATTTAGCTGTATCTCCTTAGTGGAATATAGCCTAATGACAAAAAGAACTGAAAATAAAACTTAAAATTTTCAGTTATCTTCTTGATAATAATATTTTTGTTGTTATTCTGAATTTATTATGTATTATGTTGTTTAGTCCCTAAGTCATATCTGACTCTTTTGTGACTCTATGGCTTCTCTGTCCATGGGATTTTCCAGGCAAGAATACTGGAGTGGGTTGCCATTTCCTTCTCCAGAAGATATTCCTGATCCAGGGAGTCAACCTATGTTTCCTGCATTAGCAGGCAGATTCTTTACTGCTGAACCACCTGGGTAGCCCATATATTATGTACATGTACATATATACGCATATATAATAAGATAAAGAAAATAAGCAATTATGTTAACATTACCAGGAACCAAGATTTTCAACCTGAAAGATTAGTTTTCTCTTATGATTATGACATAAAAGAAGAGAAATAAAAGCATGATGATCCCAAATTTGAATTGGAAAATCATAGTGTGATAAACTCATGATGCATTTCCCTTAAAAAAATAATAAAATGTATTTCTTAGCTTCCTTCACAAAGAAGCCCTATTATTAATAATAATAGTCTCACTGGATACACTGAGCAAGCCCTGCTTACACTCAGATGAAAATCTTATTATTTCCTGCCAAAACGGCTCCTTGAAGAACTGGCTAATTCCAGGTCTGGGAGAAGAAATACACTAGATGACCGTGGAGCATTTTGTCACATCAGATTGTGAGAAAGCTACTGGAGCCATATCTGGTTAAAGATGGGACACTTTTAAGCATGAATAAGGATAATAATAACTACAATTAATTAATATATGTCAACTATGCAAAAGACAAAAAATTTCCACCAGTTCATCATGACAACTAAAAACTCACTGGTCACTTTTGGAAGATGCTAGAAACTGAGCTGTGATGGTGGAATGGTTAAGGCACTGGACTGGAAATCCAGTGGGGTTTGCCCAGGCAGGTTCAAATCCTGCTCACAGCATTCTTATTTGGGCTTCCCTTGTGGCTCAGTTGGTAAAGAATCCACTTGCTATGTGGAAGACCTGGGTTCAGTCCCTGGGCTGGGAAGATCCTCTGGAGAAGGGAAAGGCTTACCCACTCCAGTAGTCTGGCCTGGGGTTACCTAGAGTCAGACATCACTATGCAACTTTCACTTTTCTTTCAGAAACCTTTACTTCTTCCTGAACACTGGTAAATAAAGACACAGTTTTTATGCCACCATTCTTGTAGAAACATATCTAAGATCACCAAATGGTTGAGGGACAGTTCTTAACTCCAGCTAAGAAATGAAGACAAGGTGGAAGACTATCATTCTTTTTAACACCTAATGAAATAAAGGACTGATGCAATAATTATCAACAGCTGCTAGAAACATATGTGAAAAGCTTACAGGGAATCTTACAATGATGAATCATTCTGACAACACTTGAACCCACTGATCAATGCTAGCATCATAAAAAGAAAGACAATTCAACATTATGTGTCGTTCAATGTAATACAATAGGAAGTAATGACTTGATGCATACTTGCAAAAAATGTTGAACCTAAAACCCATCTATCAGAATCATTTTAACAATGCTAACAGAAATGCAGTCGGCAAATCCCAGTTTGGGAAAATTCACAGGACAGAGAATCGGTTATCTTCATCAGATAATTTCCTGAAGAAAAGGGTTTGGGGTGCAGGTGGGGGAGATAAGAGAAAGGGAACTTAACGATTGAAAGAGATATCAAGCAAACGCTGTGGTGGACTTGTTTGCATCCTGGTTGGAACGAATTAATTGTAATCTAATTTTATTTTTCTTTTTTGTAATCTAATTTTAAAACACGAGAGAAAATTTAACAGACAGTACATTTATATTAAGGAATTGTGCACTTTTAAGGTGTGATAATTGTACTCTTTAAAGTGAGGTTTTGGTATATTGAAGTTTTATTAATAAAATATGCCTGGAATTTGCTTAAAAATGACACACTGGGGAAAGGGGGAGGATGAGTGGGAGGCAATTGATGAAACAAAATTGGTCATGAGGTGATCATTGTCCAAGGCGGTGATAGTTGCACAAGAGCTCATCATATTAATTTCTCCACTTCATGTGTGTTTTAATTTTTCCATAATGAAAAAGTTGACACACAAAAAATTTAAGACATCCTGTAAGTGTGGCCTCCCATGGTCAGTATTTGTGAGTGTATCTAACTCAGAACCCAAAAATCCTTTCATAGGTGTGAAAAGATTTTAATTTTTAGAAAGACTGGTTTAACCTGGAGTATGAGAGGATGTCGTTTCACTTGCAAAGGCAAATCGTCTGCCTTTTTTTCTTCCTTGATTTCCTCAAAATTAATCTCAGGACCAGGTGCATCCTCCTAACTACCCACCTCCCCACACCACCACCATCACCACCAGCATCGTGGGCAGCAAAGACCTTAGTATAGTGTTGCTACGTGAGGGATCGAAGTTAAACTCAAAGAAGGACTGCCCCTGTTTCCAGGATGATCCCGTAAAAATAAGAGGTGAGAGGCTAGGAAACCTAAGCCAAGAGGATGACAAGATGACGGAGAGCAAGACTCAGGATTTGCGCCAGAGTTCCAGACTATTACAGGTTTCTTCCTCTTCGATTCCCTTCAACCGGGTGGAGAGCGGGGTAGGCGGATGGGGCGGGCTTCCCGGGGATTTACAGCCATCCGGTTCCAGTTGGGAAACGGCTGGATTACAAAGGCGTGGGGAGCCGCCCGCGGATCTCCGTGTGGCCGCGCGCGCGTCTCCGCAGGGGCAGGGCGCATCCAGGTGTCCGGCCCGGCAGAGGCGACTCCTCCAGCGCAGATTCCAGGAGCGCGCAGTCAGCCCCGGCCGGGCTCCCCCGTCAAGTTTCCCGCGTCGCCCTCTAGGCACCGTCGATTACAGAAGCAGCCTTCACCTGCCTGTTAGGCAACGACGGGGGACGAGGTGACGAGGACCCACATCCCCGCCCCCGCCCTCCCCTCGCCCCCTGCATTCTTTCAGAAATCTTCCCGGGGCAGAGTTCACAGCCACTATATCCGGTATTAAAAGTCCGAGTGGTTGACGTCACTCTCTTTATCTCATAGTTTCCTTTTCTTGTATGCAGATTTAGCCTCCTTACAAGAACAGGAGAGCCTCCCGGACTGCAGATTTCATACTTTCTCCCTCCCCTGACGCTTAGCACAGATCCTGGAATGAGGTGGTTGCTAACATTCACTAGTGGAAACCATCTCCTAATTCCTCTTTCTCAGGAAGGACTGGTATCTTGGCAACCCCACTCAACTGTTGTGGAGCAGCTTCAGCTCACCTGGTCCAGGACGACTTCCCCAGTCGGGGTTCCTGGCTCTTTCTGTAGGAAGGTCCACACTCCCAAGCCATTGCACTCACCTCAGTAGACTGTGAAGTCCTTGCGGGCAGAAGCTGCCTCTTACTCATTTTGGCTTCCCTCTCCCACCCTTCTCGCACAGTTCTTAGTGAATGAAGGGACATATTGTGACATGGTTTAAATCTGGGAAGGTCTTCCTTCCTTGCCGGGGTTGGGGGGGGCGGGGGGGGACCTGTAACCTCTTCTGTCCCGTACAGAGAGAAGCACTTTTGAATCTTTCAGAAGCTGAAAACTTGAAGAGGGTCCTAGACACTCACATAGTGCTATGTTTGGAAAGTGAAGCAGTCACTGAGGCCAAGGCCTAGATTTCCCTTCTCTAGTTCAAGGTGTTTTCAACTCCTCCACATGCTGATAATAGTACTAACACCTTCTTTAGAGAGTTTAACAGTTTATCAAATGGTTTTATACACGGTATTCCATTTGTTCCTCACAGCCTCTTGAATTAGGTATTGGCATTGATGCTCAAACTCAGGTCTTTTAACTGAAAGCAAACACAAAAGCCATATTGAAAAGGTAAAATATGATAAAAAATATGTGACAGTATGGTATAACAAATAATAATCTTTCCATGGTAGTGCCTTCTACCTTGACATCCTCAACTCCTGTATTAATTTCCTAAGTCTGCTCTAACAAATTGCCTCAAACTGGGTGGATTAAAACAAGAGAAACTATTCTGTCACTGTTACGGAAGCTGAATGTCTGAAATCAAGGTGTCAACAGGACCATACTTTCTCAGAAGTATCTAGGGAAGAACCTTCCTTGCCCCTTCAAATTCCTGTGTTTGCTGGTAATATTTGTCCTTTGTCCTTCCTTGGCTTATAGATGCATCAGTCAAGTCTCCCTGCCTCTAGACTTCACCCTGCTCAATCCATCCTTCATGACAGAGGCCAACATAACCCCCTATCCAAAGTTTATTACAAACATTTTCAAACAGAAGAGTTAGAATATTTTATATAATCTATATAAATCTAAGATTTATATAATCTACCACTTAGATTCTATCATTAGCACTTTACTACAATTGCTTTATCAAGTCCTTTTCCCATTTATCCTCCCCTTTATCCATCCATCAGTCCATCTTATAATTTTATGCCTTTTTAAGTAAATTGCTTAGGAGCTGCAGGTTCGATCCCTGGTTGAGGAAATAAGATCCCACATGCCGCTCGGTCAGAAAAAAACCAAACCAAAACAAACAAAAACCCCACAAAACCAGACAAAATCAAGTAAATTGCAGACTTTCAAATGATGTTGCAAAACATAATCTCATCATGTCAGGACTTGCTGAACATTCAATGGACATTCCATGATGCCCTCTTTGGGGCAAGCATAAAGCCCAAACCCGTTTTTAAGTGCCTCCAGCCTAATCCCTCCCAGACACTGCTTCTTACTTTCCATTCTAGTGAGACCAATTGCAAGTAAAATTCCCCACTCATCAAGCTATTTGTCACCTCCCTGACCTGCTCTTCTTGTCCCTTCTCACGAGATGGTCCTCACCCTCCAGGGCCTCAAGGATCCCCTTCCCCAGAAAGCCTTTCTTGGTACCCACCTGCCTCACCACATGAGGGTCGATGCACCTCTTCTTGAGCCAGCAGCAGCCCCCAGGGCATTCTTCCCTCGATTACCGCACTTAGCTCTATAGATCATAATGATCTGTTTATGTGTCTTTCCCA